TTTAGTAAGTTAAAGAAAAATAAATATTCAATTGTTCTTATTAAGTTTTTATTATTAATAAATATTTCTTATTGTGTTTTTTAATAGGAAAAAAGTAAAAAGGGTCAAGAGCGTCGTAAGAAAAACCCATAAAATCATACCATGTCTTGAGGATGATATAAACATGTTTATGATATAATGCTTCAGGAGAAGTGGGAAGCTAAAAAACAAGCAGCAGGGGTTGATGATATTAGAGATATTTCCCCTCTATTTCCTATTAGTCGTGCTGAAGTATGGAAGAGAGGGCGAATGAATAAAAATAGAGAGTTTATTTCTACTAGAGAAGTGGCTGCAAAGATTGTAAGTATTTTAATAGTTAACATTTAGATTATAAGATTTAAATATACTAATTGCATTGCTTGCTTGCATATTCTAGGATTCTCTTACAGAAGCAGCCTCTCAGGGGTCCTTTACATCTACTGGCAGGAACGATATACTGACTATGACCTTAGGGAGTGAAGAGCATCTCGACCGTGTTAGGGGAGTTCCAAAAGGTGTGGGTATAAAATAATATTTTAGATCACCACCCTCTAATAGTGTGCCAATACATCAAGTGGAAAAAATGATAGCGGAATGCAAATCAAGTTTGATGATGGAAATGCAATCAATGATCAGTTCCATGCATATGCAATCTCAACAAGCACAAAAATTTGGTGGTGTTCCATAACTAGAGTATGATCCTAACTTTTCAAATCAAGGATTGCCGTGCATAATTTATTTAGAAGATCTTGTAAAACGTATAGTTGCATATGAAAAATTGTATAACTATTCAACTATAGTCCACCACCAGCAGTTACAAGATAATCAAGAAAAGATAATTGTTGAAGTGATTGTAGATGCTAATGCTCTTGTGTTATTTCCTACTGAGGAGGTGCAAACAGTAGGACAAGCTCAACAAACTTTTATTATTTGGTTGAGAAGGCTTGTTCAATAAGTTACTGAAGAGATATGAAAACTTTATAATTTTCAATATTTCTTAATTAATATGGTAGATATTTCTCATTTTGATTATATATTAATTAGAAACTTCAACAATCAAAAGAATCACTGGGTTCCAATCCCCAACCGATTCGAGATGACTTGAAACAGTTAGCTTCCATGATTGTTGATATGAATGAATTTACTAATGAAATAAAAGTAAGTGAGGATATTGTTGAGAATGATATTACTTTTCAAGTCGTCAGAAATGATATTAATGTTCTCGTTATTATGGAGTGGTTGGACGTATCAATAATACAAGTTTTTATCATGTAAGTGTTTATTTTTATTTCTAATTTAATATTTCTTACTTTTATTTATTGTTAATATTTTTGTTATTATTAAAGGTTCCTCCACAAAATGTGCATCCAACTTGATGTCATTCATTATTATGGATTCTTATCCCCACTCTTAACATCAGTTGAAAAATTGAATCAAAAAGCATCTTATATTGGAAGTGCGATGAATAAGCTAAAGAAGAGGTGTTTTTTTACACCAAGTGTTGAAAGGTATCAAACATCCTATTCATCTCTCTATTTATAAAATATTTGCATAATTATGTGATATTAATATAAACTAATATTTTGTAGCAATCATTGGATGCTTCCTATTATCTGTCCCTGTGAAAATACTATATATTGATTTTGTTCATTACAATGGGAAGTAAGCGACAATATGAAGTCATTGTTTGAATGGTAAGTTTTTTAAATAATTATTTTTTGATATTATTAGCATCTTTTTAATATATTCTAAGTGTTTATATTTGAAAAATAGATCTTTACATCATTATTGGAGGATGGGGGATATAGTTGATGAGAAAAAAAATAAAATCAAGTGGGTACGTATACAAGTAAGTATTTTAAATTCTTTTTCAAATTAGAATAAAGATTATAATATTGATTTGATGAATTAAATTGATTTTAATTTTTTTTACAGTGTGCTCGACAACCAGGAAGTGTCAAGTGTGGTTATTATGTGATGATTTTCATGTACAAAATCATCACTCAAGGCATTACCCACTCATTTGATAAGGTAATAATTTGTTAAAAATAATTTATATTTTACACTTTACCTATACTTGAATTAATATGCATGCACATATTTTTATTGATATGCAGCATTATAACAGTTTAGAGCCATTTTCTAGATAAGAGCTGAGGCATATATGGAATATGTGGTCTACTTACTTTTTAGAATTGATAAGTTAGAGTAGATAATTGGATAGATGCTTGTATTGAATATGTAGAAATTTTAATGGATTTGTTTGAAATTATCTCTGGAATGCTGTTTATGTCTAAATGCAGGCTTTTGTAAGTAAGGGATTTAAATCATACAAAAGAACACATACCGCAACAGTTGTATGTAAAACTGTGATAAAATGTTACTTTTCGCAATAGTTGTGTATTAAACTATCGTGAAAAATAACACTTTTTGCCACAATTATGGTAACAAGTATCACGAAAAGCAACACTTTTTGCAACGGTTATGTGACAACTGTCGCGAAAAGGTCCGTTGATTTGTCCCTTCTCAGACATCATTTCGCGACAATTGTTATTATAACTGTCGCGAAAAGTTTATATTTTTCTCCACATTACTCCATCTGACTGTCGCGAAAGCTGTAAACTTACAACTACACCCGTTTTCACTACACTACTTCTTGTGTCGTGAAAGGTGGTTTTCAACTGTCACGAAATATGTTTTTTGCACTAGTGAGTTATGCAACTCATTATATAAAATTCATGTGTGATAAAAAAAATAATCAATATATCATTAATAACTATTCCAAATATATAATTAACTTACTCCTAACAGCCACATTTGTAATACTGCCCCGCTTCATAATTCACTAAGACCAAAAGTGACATCATTGTTATTTCTTTTGATCGCTTTATGGACCCAAAACATTTAATTCAAAAATTTAGAGAAATTGAAAAAAAAAAAATCTCGACTTCAACCTTCCACAAATAAAATCATATGTTGAGTTTTAATCAATTAATCTCTGGAGAACACGTATATAAACAATTTTCACACTTTCCAAGTCTTCTAAGAAAAAAAAAAAAAACCAAACAATTTCTACTAGGATTCATTTAACATTATCAATGATGTATATCCAATTTTTATAAACTTCTTTTCTTTTTCATCAAACACTTCGTTTATGTATTCAAAAATAACATAAGAACAAACAAAATTGGTTCTCAAATTATTAACACGATACACTTTCTCAAAATTTTCTACATTTTCAACCTTTCATTATAGAGAATAATTACCTATTATTATTATTATTATTATTATTATTATTATTATTATTTACCTAACAATAATATATTTATCACTTTTATTTGCTATCATAGACTAAAATTCTCCTATCAATCATTTTATCATAGACCGTATGCGCGTTCAATAATTAGCCAAACATCAAGCATCTTATGTTTTAAATCTTTTGTGCAATAATTTCCAAGCATCTATATAAATGTACTATGCTTTCTAAACTCATTTGTTTATAAAAAAAACTTAAATACAATAAAAACAGGATCTAAATCCCTCATACGCTGCAACAAACAGACTAGAAATGATGGACCAAAAGTGCCACACACACAAACATAACAACGAGGTAGGAGAAGAGTTTCTAAGCATACACACCAGATCGTGCCAGGGAAAAAGAAGGAAGAAGAAAAGCTCTCAGTCTCTCACATCCACACTAGAGAAAAAAGAAGCAAGAAGAAAAGCTCTCACATCAATTTTCTCTAAACTTTATTTTCTTTAAAAAATGTAATTTACTATCACAAATAAATTTCTCCATTCCAATTATATTCCTATAATTCACTAACTTTATTTCACTTATTAGAGTTATTAAACAACAACAATTTTCTCAAATCATTTTTAATCTCGAAATTCCAACATTTACAATATCTACAAAAATAAATAATATTCACATTCAATAATAAACCTCAAAAGCAATATATTTAATCATCAACATAAACCTCCATTAACTCAATAAACCATTAAGTTCGAAATATATCACTACCAAATTCATAAATCACTAATTTTTGACTAAACCCTAATTTTAATTCATCAAATCAAGTAACTAGGCAAAATCTGCCACGCAAACCCCTATTCTAACAAAATTAGCTCCATTAAAAATTAAATAATCAATTAAAATATACAAAAACTCAAAATCTATCAAACTCTTGGTTTTCCACAATCAAGATATCAAAAACCAAAGAGGATTGATAACTACAAAAATTTTAGAATGCTTATGTAGTCTTGAAAGGTTTTAACTCTCACCCAAAATATCCTATTATGAAACTTAACTTCAAAACTCCACCTATTACTATAGAATTAGTTAAATATGGCACCTCATACTTGTCGCTTATTTAAAACAAGTGACAAATAAATAGAGGCGGAAAATATTTAACAGTTATTTTAAATAAGTGTTAAGTATATAAATACATATTTAAAGATTATTTAAAATAACCGTCAAATATATATAAATTTTTTTATTTGACGCATGCTATTAAATAACAGTCAAATATTTAAAATATTTATTTGTCATTTATTTGTAAACAAGGGTCAAATAAACATTACTTGATGCTTTTATATTTAACCGTTAAATTTATCCCCTTTAATTATTTTCATCGAAGCTCTCATCCTCAATTCCTCACCTTGACGGCACCTCCCCTCCCTTCAGAGCCATCCTCTCCTCCTTATTTCCTTGCCTCATCACCCTACCACCATTGCACCACCGCCTCCTCTCTAAGAAGATGCGAGGTATTTTTCTCCTCCTCACTCCCTTCTTCGATGTAAAGCCTAAACCCTAGCCACTTCCATTCTTTGAATCTATACATCAAAACCCTTGCTTTCTTTTTTGAGGTAAACTCCTTCCCACATCCTCAATCTCATAGATGTCTCTTGTTTTTTGATTGATTTTGATGCGTTTATATGAACTTGCTTCTTTGGTGCTTCCTTTGAATTCCGTTGTTTTTTTATTTGCTTTATCATTGTTTGATAATTTTAATATCCCTTACAAAGCTTCCCTCACCATTCATTCTATTGCTTCTCTCCGGTGCTTCATTGTTTTGTTTTATCTCATTCGCTCCCTTTGAGCCACCTGGAGGGTCATTTGCACCATCGAATAGGATGAGGAGGCTCACAAGAACGATGACCTTGTTCCTCTTGTTGAGAATTATAGATCTAAGGTCGATTCCGAGCTGTCCAATGTGGGTGATAATATCTTGAAGCTGTCGGCCTCCAATCTGATTCCCTCCACTTCTGCTAGTGAGCTGAGGATATTGTCTCATTTTGCAAGGCTGCACAAGTAATCATTCTCTCTTATTACCTTTGATATGCTACTTTCAGTTTTGAGGGTCCTGAGGTGAAAAGTATTATTATGTTTTTTCACTTCATAAATTTGGTTTATCAAATAGTCAAAATGCCTTCACGAGTCTTGTTGGCATTGGATTATCAATGACGTAGAAGGTTGCATTTGAAACTATGGTGAAGAAAATGAGAAAGTGGTTTTTATTTTAGAATTGGAGAGTTCCAGCATTTTATTTTATTTTTTAATTTCAAACACCGTTCAAACCAACATTATGAGATTCACAAGCAAACTATTTGAGGCATTAACTCTGAAATGATTGATCTAACAAACCTTTAAACTCTGTATCAGATGAATTACTGGTGTGTCTAATAGTTAATCAATAGTATGCTATCGATTTTACCATTAGTTGAAGAACAGAGCTTGAAAGGATTAAAAGCGAAAACACAAAAGAAAATAATTGGAGAGAATGACTTTACGTTTGGAATAATATTATATTACTATATATAAAACCACATCATAGTCGACAAAGTGGCTTGGAGGTACTTAAATATTTTAAATTACTTAAAATCTTCACATGTGGAATAATTCAGGAAACTGAATTCACATGCAGAAAGCTTAATAAAAGACGTATATTTTGAAACAGAGGGAGTGCGACATAGTGTAGTGAGGTGCGATTTACAAGTTGATGAGGTGGGAGTGTGGGACCATCCTTCTGTGTATTGATCTCAAAATGTGATAATAAAAGGAAATAAGCATTAATGTATAGGACCACTTCCTCAATTCTTGTTCTTAAGAACAATGTGCTACAACCACAACAGGGCATTGGACATGGTGATTTAGTTTTGGTTTTTTATCTCCCACATTATGTAACATTTCATTTAGTTGTAGCTTATCTATCCCAAAAGGGGGGAAACTAGTTTTAAGATTAACTCACGCATGCATTCCAAGTCTTGTACAGGTGTTGATCCAACTGAATGGGAGTCTCTGTCTATGTAACAATGTCTGGTGCGGATCACTAAAATTATCAATAGATGTCAAGGTGTGATGTGTTTGATTTTATGTCTTTCAATTTATATTATATAATTTTACTTTTCAGTTTCTGAAAATTAAAGTTTCATTCTATATTGGCTTCATGAATTAAGACCATTTTTCACTTAACATAATTGAGCACAAATGCTTGCATACATGGCCTCTCTATGCGTGTGTTGTTGGTGCTGTACTAGAGACATTGAATGGTTAGTGGAAAACTCAAGAGGCTAATATTACAAGTATTGGTCAAATCTAGTTAGGTTTATTACCGATTAAAGATGATCTTGGGGAAATCTATATTAGATTAAAAGAACAAAAATTTAGATTATCTTGTGCATTATTTATGGATGCTAGCTATAAATGGACATGTCAAAAGTGAACGAACAATGGCTTATTATGATCCTTATCATCTGAGATTATTGTCATTGAGAACTTCCAAACTTTTGTGAAACCTATATCTGCTAGTTGTCAAATCTAACTTTTATGAAGCCTATATCTGTTAGTTGTCAAATCTTTTAAATGTCAATGGGTGAATGTTGAGCGGTGGTTTAATCCTTTCCCGTTTCAGGCTTGGAGGCACCAGTCTTCGGAGCATTGTGAGAATCATGATATGTAATATTTTTGACAAATCAAAGATAATTACTATTCACAATATCAAAGATAGTTAAGCATTATCCATATTTCTAACAAATCTAACTTATAACATCCTGATGTAGAGGGCAATTAATTACCTTGGTATATTTGTTATTATTGTTTTGTCTTATAATTTTCAGTGCTTTCAAAAGGAGTTTGCAAGTGTGGACTCATCAAAGACAACACAGTCAAACTCAGACACAAGTTGTTAGACTTGCAGTACTTCTACCCACATTTTTTCCCAAATATTGTGTCCAATGTAGGAAGAAGACTGATAAAAAGGTGTCAAGCATTGATCAAAGTTGAGGTCTAATGAAGAACAAATCATAGGAAGACTAATTGCATGGGATTATTATTTCAAACACCTTTTAAATGTAGGTGTGAAGAACCTTACAGGTTGTATTCTCATAGATTTGTTTTAAAATTAAGTATTATATTGCGTTTTGGTGGCGAGAATTGTAATGTTTTCGCTATTTACAATGAAACAATTTTTAATTTGATTTTTGCATTTTTAATATTTAAAATAAAACATTAATAAAAAATAACTACAATAAAAATTAATAAGATTATTTTATTTGACTGTTGTTTAAAATAATTGTCAAATAAGGTTACTTTATTTGACCCTTATTTTAAATACTCTTATTTTAAACGAGCATTAAATAAAACTACTTTATTTTATGGTTGTTTTAAACAAGGGTTAAATAAGGATTTTTTATTTGACAATACTTGACCGTCAAGTATTGCCTTTTAGAGTTGAACAAATGTCAAATCTAGAAGGTAACACTTGACGGCTATTAACTGTCAAATAGAAGGACCTTCAATATATGATGTTACCATACTTCACAATTAATAATCATCAAATAAGGCCAAAAATAACCATCATAAGGCGGTTTTTAGTAGGAGTGTTATCACACCCGATGGCATGACTCATTCTACCTTCCACTTCTCTCTAGACACCAAAAGGAATGTGTTAGGGGGGCAGGAGAGGATCGTGAACCATTAATCTAATCCCCTTCTACCATTTCTTTCTTTGTCTTTTTTTTTTTAAGTTTTTGTTTGCTTCTATCTCTCTCTAAAAACCTATTCATCATTTTTGTTCCTTTTTCTTCAATCTCCCCCTTTCTTTTAAATTCTATCCAATATAATTTTATCTTCTTATACTCTCTAAAATATAAAGGATTGAATTAAATTAGTATACTTTTGTTTCAAATAAAATTTTCACAACATTAAGATAGTGATAATATTTTAAGTTATTTTCCCTTAAATATTTTACTTCCATCTATCCTTACTTATTTTCCCCTTTCTTAAAAAAAAAACGTGGTCTAGAATTCAGTCCTCAAAATTTAACCCATTTTTTAAGTAAATTCTCTTCATTCAAATGATTACACATTAATGTCCAATATCCATGGACTAATCTCACCATAATGTTGCTAAAATCCTAAAAGTAAAAAGTGGGATATTACTCCCACAACCTCACACCAATGTTTTTAGAATCGAACCAAATATTGAACTAAAAAGGCCAATGGTTCACAATTATTAAGTCAATGATGAAATAATTAAATTCAAAAATTATACATGTATATAATAATCTAAATATAAAAAAAATATTTTAAGTTTATCATAACTCAACAAGCTATATGATATAACATAACATCAAATAATTAAAAAATGGGTTATTTTCTAAAAACAATTGATCCAAAAAATAAAAAAGGGTCATTTTCTGAGCAATTTTGTTTTTAAGAATCAAATCCGGTTCCCTGTTCAAAAGGCAGTCCAAACCTATCTAATCTGATCCAACTCCCCAGATGATTTTATAATAATTATACATGTGATAGTTAAATTTATTCATTCATAGAATGATATTTCATCTAATTTAATTTTTCACTTTAAAGTCTACATTTAATATCAATAACTTTAAAGTTTGATGTCAGTTTAGATGTTCCTAATTTGATAGCTAATGGTAGGAAAGAGAAAGATGAAAAGAAGAGAAATGAAATATTTTAAAATTTTACTTTTAGCTTTTACAATATATGAAATATATCTATGTATGTGTTGCTATGTGATTTTTTTTGTTTGATGTTATCATGCGACATAAATATAAAATATATTAGATAATATAGTGTATAATTTTCTTATAAAATTATAATTTAAAAATGAAAACTAATTAGAAAAAGTAAAATGCAATGTAAAAAAAAAGCCAATTACATTACTTAAGAGTCATTGTTAACTAAAAGTAAAAATAAAATTTTAAATAAAACTAGCTAGAAAAATAAATAATTATGAACTAATGTATAATCATTTATATTTTTACTATTTCTTCTTAGATATTTTTATATTATAATTATAAATATAAATATTAAATAAATAATACAATAACCTTGAGAAGTAAAAAAAATAAAATAAATAATGCAAATGATATTGTATCAATTATATTTATAGTTTGCTTTAGACAAAATAAATAATATAATTTTCAATTTTAATAACTTAAAAGAATTAAATTGAAGTACTTAATGATAGTAATGATATTTTATAATATTAAATATTTAAAATATATCTATATTTGTATAGTTTAATAATAATATATATATATATATATATTTTAATTATGTAATAATAAACTACAAATTTATTCCAACTCAGAGACAATGATGGAATACAAAAAGAGGGGGTCATGGGTTCAAACTTTGGAGGAGGCAACCTGTAAAATAAAAATATAAATCAGTGACATGATGACATGTGGCTGATGCTCAACATTTAGCAACAAGCAAATAATCACTGCTGATGTATGGTTTTTGTGGCAACATTTGTTGCCATCAATTCTCAACTTTTAGCGGCGACTCTCTTTTTGTGTGACAAATTTTCTTGCTGATTCTCAACTTTCACTAAAAGTCAATTTTTTTGTAGTGATACTATGTCTAGGAATTTAAAAAGAATATTAATTCAATATATAGTGTATGAATATATAGCTAATGATATAAGTGATTTAATAATGTCACACTAATAGGAATTGGGTCTAACAGAAGGAGTTAGTCCATCACAACATGATGAATCAAGGCCCAAATCTTCATTGAGAGAGGTACCCACATATTTAGTACTTAACCATACTTCGAATATGATTACCTCTAATAAAAGGATACATATGCTCAATCAAATATATATATATATATATATATTAACGTGGCAACATAACTAGTAATTAAATAACTTTTATTTTCTGAGTTTATTGATTACTATTTAATCTGCTCTTCAATTATTATGGATTTTGATATAAATATAATTTTGACCCAAAATGATTTATCTTTTAAAATATAAATTAAATGACTGTGGTGTTTAATTTCTCCAAACCATTAAAATATCTAGGGTTGGATATAAATAGAACTTCTTTTTTAAGGAACGTCATAAAATAGGAACCATAAGTGACAAATAAATAGAAAATCAATCTATGCTTCCGCTAATCCAGACCCGAAAGGACAGCTCTCAAATCTTTTGCCATTATAAGGTGTCAAAGTACGGGTTTCCATAATATATATACATATCCACGAAATGTGGCACATAATAATAATAGAAAAAAGATAAAGTCTCGTACCACGCACCAAAGAAAATGAGCATCATCACCTTTGCCTTGTTCTTATTTCTGGCTTCCTTCGTCGTCGTCACAGCCCAAAAAAAAGTATTGGACATAGCAAGTTACGGAGGACTCCCTAATGGAGATATAACTCAGGTATCCTAAGAATAGTGGTTCTACAAATGAGTTCAGATGTTTATTATAATTTCTAAATGATTAATTAACAATTTTTCTTTTGAAAAACATTGAAGGCTATGACGAAAGCATGGGCAGCAGCATGTTCAAGCACTGTCCCAGTAAGAATTTACGTAAAGAATGCAAAGTACAAGATGCTTGACGTGCATTTGAAAGGTCCATGCAAGGCTCCAGCGATTGAAATATATAATGATGGCACAATTCAAGCACCAGGAGACATGTCTCAATTGCATGGGGTTCAACAATGGATCAGAGTTGAATATGTGAACAAATTTACCTTATCAGGCAGAGGAACCTTTGATGGCCTTGGTCCTTCTTCCTGGCACCATAATACATGTGCCAAGAATGTACACAACTGCAAAATGCTTACCATGGTATGTAAACATAATGTAAAGATTTATTCAGGTGCAATCTCGTCCATGAATTACACGGAGTCTGATGTTTTTAATGTTAATAATATGTCTATTTATATAACAAGTTTGTTGTGAAATGATGAACTGCAGAATTTTGGGTTCAGTTTTCTCAACAATTCTGTTATTAGGGATGTGACGTCAAAAGACAGCAAAAACTTTCATGTTAATGTTTTGGGATGCAATAACATTGAATTTAATAACTTCAAAATCGATGCGCCAGAAGACAGTCCCAACACCGACGGAATTCACATAGGAAGATCGGTTGGTGTGAGAATCCTACACACTAAAATTGGTACCGGAGATGATTGCATCTCGTTGGGTGATGGTAGTGTAAATGTAACTGTAAATGATGTCACATGTGGACCTGGCCATGGAATTAGCGTCGGAAGTGTTGGGAAAATTACATCAGAAACTCCGATAGATTCATTCACAGTCAAGAACTGCACGCTCACCAACACGATGAATGGTGTGAGGATCAAAACATGGCCTGCCGGCCCAGGAACTATTACAATCACTAACATGCACTTTGAGGATATTATAATGAATAATGTCTCCAACCCTGTCATCATAGACCAAGAGTACTGCCCCTGGAATCAATGCAACAAAAAGGTACTTATTTCATTAGAAGCTACATATATTAAACCTCATTATTTCTCTTTATTCTATTTTAGAGAAGTCATCCTTTAAACCATTATTTCAATTTCATAATGACCTACGTTTTACTCCATTCTTTCAATGGCTCAGATCCCATCCAAGATAAAGATAAGAAATGTCACTTTCAAGAACATTAGGGGCACCTCTGGAACAAAAGAAGGAGTAACACTAATATGTAGTGCTGGTGTACCTTGTGAGAATGTAAAACTCAGTGACGTTAAACTCACATTCAAAGGAAGAGAAGTAGTAGCCAAATGTTCTAATGCCAAGCCCACAATTACAGGAGTAGCGCCTGCTTGTGTAGGAGCAGCAGCAGCCTAAGTATCCAACAATACAAAACTGAGGCTTTTCTTTCTACTTTGCTTTCCTTTATTTGTGGATACATAATCCATCCCCTTATTTACTAAGGGAGTATGGTTTAAGATTAGGCATATTGTTACCCTTAATGTTTTGAAAACACTATGATTTTCCCAAGTTTTGTAATTGATAGATACCAAATGTTGACTGTTAGTTGAGTTTTGGAGATTTGATTTCAAGACTACAAAAAAGAGAATATAAAACAGTTATTCTCATTAATATTTAATGACTATGAACTGTTGAGTAATTTGGTACTGAATATTCTAGGACCTTTTATTCAATTGTTTTTAACCATTAAATATTATCAATTTATTCAACGGATTTTAGTCCAAAACCGTTGAATAAATTTTTGCAATTTGGAAATAACAATTTGCGAGAGATAACTTTCAACAGTTCTAGATTAAAAACCACTGAATAGTTTGTTATTATTTAGTGGTTTTTTATTTATAACCATTGAATATATATAAATATTTAGCGGTTGTGTCACAGAACCACTGAATAGTTTTCATTGTACTATTGGTCATCATATTCAACAGTTTTTTCTCATAACCATTGAATATTATGACTTAATTTTTTGAACTAGGCAGGCTACATTTCTAACAACCCCCCTGCATTGTAAATTACAAAATAATATTCTAGCACCCAAAAACAAATTACATCCAATAATAGTCATGTATATACATAAATGTACAATGAATTCCTATAAGAAAAACTTATACATAACTTGAAGTGCTTAAATTAAACCAATTAGTGGCTAAAATATAAACTCCAAATCCCAAAATTTTCCTAAGTTTCCTAACTATCACTACTGTTGGCTGTTAAAACTAATCCATGCCTCAAAAATACTATGTGCTAACTCTTCAAGGACTTATTCCATTTGAGCATAAGTATACGTGTCATAGTATGCATCCTCCACTATTACAGGATAGGCTTTTAACAACAGGTAAAAAACACTTTTAACAATGGTTCTACGTTCACTGTTGTTTCAAGAGATGTTAAATGTATGTGACTTTCAACAGTAGTTATACAACTGCTATTAAAAATAAACTTTCAACAGCAGGTCTATGTCTGCCATTGAAAGTTGCTCATTGAAGTTTTTTTTAAAAAAAAATAGGACTTTTAACATCGGTTCATGCCATAACCACTATTAAAAGTTCACTTTTAACAGTAGTTAATGCCATAACCGATGTTAAAAGTGGTTTAAAAAAATTTATTATGTTTTTAGTTGTTTCCCCAATTCCTGCAAATGAAAATATTCTATATAATTTATTGCCAACTAGCCAATTCAACTATATATAAATAATTCAAATTTCAATACAATTCTATAGAAATTACACAAAACTCAAATTGTCTTATGCAATTTCCTAAAATACTACCTAAACCTCACATACCATCCACAAAATATTGTGCTCAACATATGAGGATGTTGTCAACCTCTTCCTTAGAAAATGGATTCGCAATGTCAAACATCTATATTAAAGTATAAAATTGTAACTAAAACATTAACCAATTAATTTAAGTAACAATAAAATTAGCTTTTAAAAAATATAGTTACCTTATTTGTAAATTCAGTCATTCCTAATGTGATGATGTTGAGCATATGCCTCATCACATATATGCTGCACAAACTACTCTTCAGTGGTTGCATGTGACTTTATATAAAAACATATATATATATATATATATAAACAATTGGGAATTGGTAATAAATATTGACAATTGAATATGTTAATAAAGTGTTAGTTTTAACTTACCTTTGGCTTAATCCACATAGGATCCTTTAGTTCATATGGGTGCTTTTTCAGGACCATCATTTGATATGTTTTCATTGTCCTATGATCAACATCATCAGATTTGTAACTAATATATCTATAAAAATTAATAGTTTTTGTACAAGTACACTTATGAGTCTATCATCTTCTTTGTGTCCTTGTTTGGTTTGTAATGAAGGGAGCATAAGAAGAGGACTATGTTACTCTTCAATGAAAGAAAAATTAGTTGCCAGTGGTCCCTACAAAATATAGTAAGATATTAAAAGAAATCCACATTTAACAAAAAAACTATCAATCGTAAATTAATCCTTACGAATGCACATATAGAGCCATGAAAACATCCTTTTTAACTTCGCATATTCATTGCTGGGGGTACCGGGATCTTATTTCAGGAGTATTCCCTTTCTTTGTCATGTGATGAGGGCGAAGAAATTCAAAATGATCACCTTTGCTTGATGTAATGCATAAACGATGGAGGTACTTGCGATAATGCAATTATGTTAGTTGACTGATCTTGATAAGTTAATTATATTTAAGTAAAACATGTTTACAGCATAAAAAGCTTAATTGATGCTGTGGTAAGATGACTTTTCACGAGAAGCCAATTTAAATCTTCCTGTTCAATCATCACTGGACTCTCCACACCTACAACATCCTTTTCCTTTAGAAATTTTTTTTCTTAGAATGATTTATCATAAGCCAAGAAAATTATTTGTTAGAGAGGAGTCAATTGCGGTGGTTGCAATGGCTAGGGTTGTAAAAGTTTAGGCAGGGGATTATTTGGCAAGGGAAGTTGAAAAGACAAGAGATAGCTAATTAAAAAATAATATTTAATAAAACATATCTTAGCTTGAACCATACTCACAAGTCTCTTAGGCCACATGATAAAAGTACCAACAGCTTTGGATATAGTCTTGACCTCATTAGTAGGGAATGGGACGAGTGCATCCACTACTTTTACATCTTCTACCACCACTCTGACTTGATCTTGTTGCATTTGCTTATGGTAGATGGTTTGTCCCAAATTGTGAACGCTGCCAAGAGCAACCAAGCGTCTATCAGGATCCTCTAGATATAGCTCACACGATTTACCCATGTTTCTTGCTGCAGGACCCTCTAACATGCATCCAAAAACATTACTCTCTTTCATGCTGTGAAATCTAAGAGATTGTGTATGAGGTGCATCGACAGTCATCTCTTGTCGCAAGGACATAAAGGTCATTATCTCCTCTTTCATTTTTGCAAGCCGGGCTTCCAAGCAAGCTTCAAATGAAGCTTCATCCTCCTTTCATGTTTGTTGCCTTACATTTGTTATTACATTTTCTAGCTCCTCTCTCGTAAAAACACTGGATCCACTAAGGCATGTATGTGCTCCAAAGAAATCTCTGATTCCCACACCAAATCTAACACCTCTAACGTGTCCCGAATGCTCTGGCTTATTGGTAGCAGCCACCAAAATGTCATTTCTACCCTCTGGAATGAAGGATCCTTGAGATTGTTGTTCCTTAAGAGTCTCCTATAACAAACAAAACAAATATCATAACATTCTATATTGGTAATTGAATAAAAAAATTAAAGAATTAAATGTTACTTACAATCCTTTTAGCAACCTCACATACTTTCTCGCTTGTATACCCTCCCTTCTTGTATTAATGACCATATCTCCATTTATCCTCACGAGAGATAGGTGATGGTGGGGATAAGAGAATAGAAGGATCGGATTTAACTTCTTCTTCTCTCTTCTTCAACATCTCATCCATCAAAATATTGTCAACACGATCATAACCGTCATGAGACATCGTATGGGGGCATTCATTTCTCCGAGCAATTTCTTTACCTTTTGCTCGTTTTTCCTATTAATAAAAAATTAACAAATTAATATAATCAATTGAATTAAATTACTATAATTAAATCAATTAGAAATCGACTAACCATAGCTTTTTCAGAAGTTCAAATCCTGTAGAATTCCTGCCAAGTTTGTTCATCCAAAAACTAATGTCTCGAGAGGATTAGGATAAGGCTAACCTTCTTTCAACTTGACATGGACAAATTTCCTTGCAAGGTCAGTCTTGAAACCTCTCCAACGTTCCCCACAATATTTTATTAGCTGTCTTCGACATGCTTCATCATTTGGAATATTGTAGGTGAGCTATAATTAATAATAGTTAGTATTTTACACATAATAATTATAAATGTTTATAACTTTATAATGATATACCTGAATGCTTTCCCAAATCTATTCCTTCACACGTTCTAGCACATCAAGCCAATCTTCGTACAAGATATTGGGCTTGTTTCGTGACAGGAGTCCAAGGTAGTTGACAAACTTGGCCTTATTTGGCCCTCGTGGTTTGCACCGCCGATCGAACTGAATTGGTAATTTGCGGCTAGTAGTCCTACTCAAGGTCAGCTCTCTCAGTCGTATTCCTCGCCTACCCCTCCTCACTGACTAGCTTTGACTCGGATCACTGCCACCGCTTTGAGCAACCTCTGCAGTGGGCTAGCTCTGAGTAACCTCTATAGACGGTTGGCTCAGAATACCGTTTGTAGGTCTACTCTAATTTTTCTCCATGTTCCTAAAAATAAAACACAAAGAATTGTAAATAAAGCATAATTTAAATAACACAAAATAAATAAAACACAAAGAATTATAAATAAAGCATAATTCTAAATTAGAAAACTAACATTAATTTAAAATTAGATTCATATAGAGATATTCTCCCATATCCCTTCATGATGATCATTTCGTGCGGCATGTTCATCATCTATCTCATATACGTTCAAATTGGATAGTCCTAATGAGAAGGTAGGACTTTTAGAGATATCGAAGCCTGTTTCATTCTTATCATCATTATCAATCACCTTTTTTCCTTCGACAGCTATTGACCAACTTTTATCTGCCGAATAGGTAATATAGAAAAATTATTTTGCTTGGTCTGCCATAATAAATGGCTCCTCCCTATAAGTTAGTCTTCTAAGATCAATTAATATAAATCCTAAATTATCATCTTGCATGCCATTAATTTCAACCCACTTGCATTTGAAAATAGGCACTCTAAATTTAGTATAGTCAACCTCCCAAATCTCTTCAATAATCTCAAAAAAAGGAATGGATGCCATTTTTAGATTCTTATCTTTTTTACTTTAGAAGTGCACAGCTTCAACCACTATCATAACTCCACTATTTTGTACAGTACTTTTCTCATCAAGAGACCTTGTATAAAATGAATACCCATTAATATTGTATGCCTTCCAGCATATCACATCCATGTTAGGACCTTCTGCTAACCATTTAATCGTATTAGAAACATTATCCTCATTTAAGACTTATTGTTTGAACCAATCTACAAAAATCCTATTATGCTCTTTCAAGAACCTTTGTTCAGTTATTC